GGTTTGTTTGTTTTGGGGTCTATAGAACAAGTAATGTATGTTTAACAAAGGATTATTAAACATTTCAGATAATAAATTAATAAAATGTTCACGGGTTTCTTACTTATGGCCTGTAAAGTACATATTTTGCCTGCTTCTAACACTCACTGGTTTCTTACTTATGGCCTGTAAAGTACATATTTTGCCTGCTTCTAACACTCACTGGTTTCTTATTTATGGTCTGTAAAGTACATATTTTGCCTGCTTCTAACACTCACGGGTTTCTTACTTATGGCCTGTAAAGTACATATTTTGCCTGCTTCTAACACTCACTGGTTTCTTACTTATGGCCTGTAAAGTACATATTTTGCCTGCTTCTAACACTCACTGGTTTCTTACTTATGGCCTGTAAAGTACATATTTTGCCTGCTTCTAACACTCACTGGTTTCTTATTTATGGTCTGTAAAGTACATATTTTGCCTGCTTCTAACACTCACGGGTTTCTTACTTATGGCCTGTAAAGTGTATATTTTGCCTGCTTCTGACACTCACGGGTTTCTTACTTATGGCCTGTAAAATAAATATTTGGCCTACTTCTAACAGTGAATTCCAAGTATGAACAAGTTTATTAGGGTTCAGTAAGCGTTCTCATACTTTAAACTAATTTTTATAGAGGTATACAGAAGTTACTACACCTCCCATTATTCAGTCGGCCTACTTGCGTGTAAGTTGTATACGCTATACGTTTGTTACTTAACGCTTGAATTAGGTTTCCTAGCAACTAATAATCATTTAATCTTAGCAAGCTCGTCAATATCACAAATTCTAATATTATTTTTATATATAAATTAACATTCATTATATTCAGACAACAGAGAAACGAATAGAAATACCAAACGTGTCCAACTAAAAATTTGGAAAACTTACCCGTCACAGAACATAGTACGGTAGACATGCTCCCATCAACGTCATCACATGCTGAGAATAATTATATGCAACATAAACAAACATGCAACGTGCAAGTAAAGCAAAACATTCAAAATTAAATAATTCACCAGAAAGTTGACAAAAGAACGTTGGTTCGAGGAAACTAAATGTTATGTTTATGATAAAAAAATTGTAAGTTCTGATTTGTTAAGATACCAATAAAAATCTTTGAATATACTGTTATTAAAATATTTCAAAAGCACGCAGTCATCAGCGCCGTGCACTCTAGCAACAGGAGATGCTGATGGTGTTTGGAGCAAAGCTATCTGAGCTCTTTCCACCACGAGGAGTCAGACCTCGAATTTTAGCGTTGTAAGCCCGTAAACTTACCGCTGAACCACTAGGGGACAACAGAAAATAATTATAAAGAAAGAGCAATATATATAATTATGCATACTTCAGCAACTACCATCTTACTGGCTATAACTTCATAAGCCATAACCATGAAAATTAGTTGTTCATGATAACACTCAGGAATCTGCCAAGTTAAAGATGTTGCCTGGTGTTTAATGTGAATTAAAATTACAAAAAAGAGCGTATATTACTCTTATCGTTCGTACAGAAAATGAAGCAAAATGATAATTATAAAGCGCATTTAGATATCTTAATACGAGGTTTTCAAAATATTATAATTATGATATTTAGATATGCTCATCTCTGTTTAATTAAAATGATAGAAACTGCGTTTGATAAAATTTAAAATAACAAAATCAAATTGCGTAGGATATATATATATATATATACTCGTATGTTAATATCTTAGTGGCAAGGGCCAAAATAAAGGATTATGGATTGTCTTACTTTGCCTTCTGACTGATATAAGCATGCTGTCATGGCCTAAAGAATTCCATGCGGAGCAGTTGTAATCTCCAAAATCATTTTCTTCGGCTTTGTGAATGATGAGCAGGTTTCTGAGACCGTCCAGTAGGGGCTCCGTCACGATCTCGTAGCCCTCTGAATTGTCAATATCAACTACCTGAACCAAGAGGACATAAAGAACCGTAAGACAACAAATATTGGCTCAGTAATTAACTGTTTCTTTAGGGTGACAGTTGAAGGACTTAGCGTGATCTCGTTAAGCTCTGTTAATTATCTCCGGCGTTGTGTGCTGTCACTAAGATGTTTTGGTGTCTTTAGTTGAACAATGTTAGCAAAAATAACAATATATATATATATACTTTTGTTGGTGTAGCTTCTAATATTAAATATTTTCAACCTTTATTGTTAATTAATACAAGAATAGTTTATCTACAAAGTACGTATAATAAAAGAAAAATATTATTGCATATATTTACTTCCATTGTTCTTTCCTTTAATAACTGCCCGAATCCAATAGACCAGACACAAAAGAACATTATTATTAAGCACAGTATTGATTCGCTAACTGAGAAATGCAACATAGTAGCACAACCTAGAAGTACTTATTGAATTTTTGTTTGTTTAATATTCTATGAGGTTCTGTATTTATATTTCAAGAAAGTATAAATAAACATACACGCATTCTCTATCATCTCCAAAAAATTATGTATCTTTATTTTCATCAAATTAGGATTACAGAATTAAACTAATTTCGTAAAAATAAATTGTGACCATTCGGTATTTTTAATAATCTAGAAGCTTGGGTGAACACATAGGTAATCTAGAAGCTTGGGTTAACAAATAGGTAATATATTTTGATAACTATTAGTTACGATAGAATTGTTTTCTGTTCCTGGTTGCATAGTTATCGCTATAATCTCGAATAGATTGAAATAAATATGCTCAATTAACAATATTGCACCTTAAAGTGCGTGAAATGGGATAGAACTGTGTAACGAGTCATGAATGAATAATTAATGTATGTTATTTGAAACGATATAATTTATAAAAGCAAACAATAATTCAAGAGCGGCAAAATGACAAAAAAGATAACAACTAACTTTCATATAATTATAATACTAACTGTAACTTAAAAACATAAGTACATAAACCATAACTTCAAAACAAAATTGTATGTTATGGTACACTTTAATTAGTAGCCTTGTTTTCTTAGTTAGCCTTTAATTATAGAAATGTCTTTGAAAATAAAACCAAAACCAAATGTCACAAGCACTGAAATAAATATATCTCTTCCTATTTAGCCACCTTATACTGGGTTGTATAGAAAGATAACTCATACAAGTAACAGAGAAAATGGCCAATAATCGCATACTAGCTTATCTCTACGTGAAAAATATTTTATAATGCATTCGGATAATCGATAAATAACCCCCAAACAAAAACCACAGTACCTAAAATACCACTTTACTCCAAAACACCATCGAGAATGTGAAACGTAATGTTCGGTATATTGAAATGAATGAATTGACAAAGCAAGTAAGAATCCAAGAACATCAATGCCATAGGAGATTGTGTAACATTGACTATTAAACGACTGAGTATCAGAGAAAAACTACAAATACCATGAAAAATTATCAGACACATAGCGAAGATTTCCACTTCATAGCTACGAACCATGTAAGCAAATTAAACAGTAAATTTATCAGAACTTGGTTACTAATTGCTACTATTACAAAAAAAGACAAAAACAACAACAACTCACCACCCGATTATAAGCATGTAATAAATTAAACGTTAAATGACAAGACAATAAAATACTTCCAATTAATATTTGCCGTGTTTAAATAATATGTCGCCAACAACACCTTACTCCAAATAGCTGCTAGATTACCTATATTTATTGACGAACCTTTACCTTTACAACATGGGGATATCAGTGAAATGCCTGTCCAGCAGAACGTTATTTATTGCACTATGTATCTGACAGATAACGTCGTAAGAGAAACAGTATTTCTTTTATGGCACCGTTATCGTTTAAATTATTGAACAGCTAGATATCCTGCTGAACAGGAAGAAAATAAGCTTACTTAATTTATCGGTATTCTGTCTGAGAATATAACTAAACCTTTTTTTCTCAGATCTTTAGTGGCAGTGGTGACAGATACACAACACTACAGACATTAGTAAAAGGTGGTCTTACTAGAGACTAGTCAGATCACGGAGAAGGAAAAAGAAACGAATAAATAAAGCTTTAATTTAGTTGAACTATTTGGTAGAGCAATTTTGCCAGAGATTAACGAAATACAAGGATCGGTATTGGCTTGTTTTCATTATCGAAGTAGGGTTACCTGGGATTGCTTAATCCATACTACCCGAGAGGGTTCTGGTACTGATGTAATTAAACACTCGACTTTTACTTCCTGCCCCTCCGTACCATACTGAATAGTAGAGCTTTTCACTATAGGTGGACCTGTGGAAAGTACAGAATATTTTTTCACGATTAATCACACTAAGGTACAATCTAATTTAAATATATTTGACAAAAAAGTCCAATTTAATTTGTTTTATTTACGTTTCTAATTATTATGTTATGTGATTTCACATTGGGTTAGTTTTTGTTGAGCAGAAAACTCTACAACGGGTCATCTGTGCTTCGCCCACCACTGGTATTCAAACCCGATTTCTAGCGTCATAAGCCTGCAGTCTTACTGCTAAACCACTGTGGGGGAAGTGTGATTTAATACAATAATATAACTAAATTAGCGTTACAAAAATACTCCGGTGGAACAGCGGTAAGTTTACGGACTTACAACGCTAAATTCGGGGTTTGGTTCCCCGCGGTGGACACAGCAGATAGCCTAACGTGGCTCTGCTCTAAAAGAAAAAAAATCAGTCATTACAAAAATCATGTGATATATAAAACTGTTGCCTCGTATCTGTTGTAGATCACAATTATTACAAAAATCATGTGATATATAAAACTGTTGCCTCGTATCTGTTGTAGATCACAATCATTAACAAAAATCATGTGATTATAAAACTGTTGCCTCGTATCTGTTGTAGATCACAATTATTACAAAAATCATGTGATATATAAAACTGTTGCCTCGTATCTGTTGTAGATCACAATCATTACAAAAATCATGTGATATATAAAACTGTTGCCTCGTATCTGTTGTAGATCACAATTATTACAAAAAAAGCAGATAAGTATTGTTGGCACACCTTTAATGAAGACCAACAAATCTGCAGAGATCTCTGGAAACCCTGGTACTGAAGCCTTACAAGTATATTTCCCAGTTTTGTCTGGTGTAATTCTTGGAATTATTAAATCCTTGTCTCTTCCTACGATCTTGGAATCCTCAGAAATCCAGGTTATTTTAGGAGAAGGATTGCCATCAACAGCGCACGACAATCGCACCTCTTTGTTTGGATCTGCTGCTATGTTTTTTAAAGGTGACTTAATTACAGGACCATCTGAAAAAGTTGGGTAAAAACACTCTTTTTACAATTGGTAACTAGAAAACGTGGCGTTTTAACGTAAATAAAAACGAATTCGGCACCAACAGGAACTCACTTTTTTGTTGTTTTTTTTACTGGAGAAAAACGGCCCATTTGCACGTTATAAGAATCCATAATATTACCATAAAATTGTAAAGTAAGATAAGAATTTTCACTATTTGTCTCTCTCATTCCTGATAATACCCCGTGCTGATCGAGCTCTGAAAATACTGTTCAGAAGAAAGAGAGAGAGAGAGAGAAATATAAACAAAAACAATTGTATTTTGTTTATCTTTTAGTGTTTTTATTTTTATTTTGGAAAATATTCATTACAGTTTTGAAAGAGACTTCGGCAATAAATTATGTACATATTAAAACTATACCGATACGGATGCCTGGCTTTTCACTCGTGACAAATGTCTCGATTCGAAAACGAAAGGGTACATGAGTTGCAGCGTTCTCGAGTTTCATAGAACATTAAAATGTCGCCCATCGATATGCAGCTTGATTATTTATTTACTTTTATATTTTTAAGACTCATGTCTGGTGACGACTTTCAGACATCTGCTAGACGAACTTAAGTGTGAAATGTAATCACGAATAAAAAAGACTCATGTCTGATGACGGCTTTCAGACATCTGCTAGACGAACTTAAGTATGAAATGTAATCACGAATAAAAAAGACTCATGTCTGATGACGACTTTCAGACATCTGCTAGACGAATTTAAGTGTGAAATGTAATCACGAATAAAAAAGACTCATGTCTGATGACGGCTTTCAGACATCTGCTAGACGAACTTAAGTGTGAAATGTAATCACGAATAAAAAAGACTCATGTCTGATGACGGCTTTCAGACATCTGCTAGACGAACTTAAGTGTGAAATGTAATCACGAATAAAAAAGACTCATGTCTGATGACGGCTTTCAGACATCTGCTAGATGAACTTAAGTGTGAAATGTAATCATAAATAAAAACAAGGATACTATTTAACATTGGCTAAACATCTTATATATTGGAGCTTAAACCATGAACAAGTAATGGCTGGAGACGGCTTGAATGGGTAATGAAGAAAAACTTTAATATAACAGCAAATGTACAACGTTTCGACAAGGTTTTGTCATCATCGAATTCGAACATGAACAAGTGTTTTTAGTGTTATGTTTTAATATTCAAACTTTATAAGGATTCAAATATATTTTATATTTAGTGATATTTCCTTTGACTAAAATGAAAAGATTTGATTGTAACAACTAATACAAATGTTGAGCACGTTATATTAAAACGATTCTGGAGTCTTAATACGCTCTTACAGTCCGGTCAGGGCCGATCGCGGCCCAGTGGCTAGTTTGTTCGATCGTACAGAAATTCATAGGCACTGCGACTCTACCAGTATGTCTTCGTACGCAATTTCATGAATACCCGTTTTATTCTCCAGATATTTGAGATAAGAAACTGATGAATGGGTATGTCCCGGAAGCAGTTTCAGTATACACGACTTTTCCAGACGCTTTTGCCAATGACATTTGTGTTTGTGGATTATTACCTGCTGCAAGATATAAGACTTTGCTTACCACAACCGATTACGACTTGCTAAAGATGTCTTTATAGAAGGCACTGGCGTCCCAAGTTGATCCATATTTCTTTTTACAATATCATTAACTATAAAGGCTATCCCTGTCTTGAAAATTCATAATCCCCGTTATGAACATATCCTTCCCAAAAGCGATCAATTTTTTTAAGGTATCAAATTTCCCAAAAAACAGAAATTAATGTCAAAATGTAGTTCTGATACATATTATTCCACCGCGACTTTATATCGGCTGTGACTGTCACGTACCTGCTGATTTGCACATTCAAAATCGCTTGAATATAACGTACTCAACTCTCTGTGTTTCCAAAAGTGTGGCATTTCTAATAAAAACCATCCAATGTTTTTTGTTTTGTTTTTCTACGACGTTGGTTATTATTAAAATAAGAATTTACGTAAGTTCTTCGCTTACTCACAATAAATATTCAACACATAAGTAGATTTTGTTGTTCCTATTTTGTTGCTCACTTCACAACTAACTGTCTGTCCGTTGTCTTGCCTTGTCACTTTACGTATGTTGAAGGTAGTGACATTGTCTTCCTGAACTAATTCGTCATTCCTGTGAAAACATGACATCAACGAAATAACAGGGATATTTCTAGGATGAAGATTACAACAAATCTGGACTAAATAATGTAAAATAAACTTACAAGTACGCTAGCTTTGATGGGAAGAGTTACGAGTGCTAGGTTTCTTGGAAACTATTTAAATTAATAGCAGCTAAATTTTGATAAATATTCCTAACCCTTCATATCATTCTATAAATGGTATTCGATTTTTTTACCTTGAAATCTAAGGTGCGATAGACTTACCGGTAAATGATCCTAAGTTGAAAATCAAACCAAGTTTTCGACTATAATTATACGATTAGAACGTATTGTTTTTGCTTGTATTTAAATAGATGAAATGGTGACGAGTGTGTAGTTTCGTGTACTATAGATTCTGATTTATATGGTGACGAGTGTGTAGTTTCTGATTTATATTATACATATTGGGTTCCTGGAGCATATCTATAACCGATCAATAACAAAGAAATAAAATTAAAACTTCTTGCTCCTCGTATAACACATTTGTAAGTTAAGAATCCACTGTCATGTTACTTATGTACACGTTTCATTATGTAATTATAGAATTTAAAAATATACATCTACTAGTGTTTGGATATTCGTGTCTTGTTCACTTTTATTGTATCTCGTAAATTTTAGATTAAACCTGCTTATATTAACAAAATATGTTATTTTAATGGTTTTTCAATTAATCTTAAATATAATAATTATAAACTAATTAAGCTATTCACAAATGTCCCTTTGTCTGATTACTAAACACCTTTTTTTTTAAGTCGTCTTACGTTTCGATATGAGTTTCTAAATACATTTTGTCCTTTGTGGATCGGATGAAGTACTGAAAATGACAGCAGAAACAACGAAAAGAAAACTTGATATCTTTATAAAAACATAAGCTTAGCGAACATTTTGATAGAAAGGAATATCTGACAAAAGATTTTCAAAAAAAACTATATTAAAGAATATTATTTTAAATAAAATATTTACAAAAGTACCAATAAAATATTTACAAAAGTACCCAAACGTACCTGTACCACTTATACATTATATCTGCCGGATTTGCCACTGCGTCACAAGTGAACTGCACATCGTCGAATTCCGTGATTTTCTTACTGTTGGCAGTTAGGGTAACTTCGGGGGGATCTACAACAGCCATTCATTACTCTCAGTGAGTTTATGCTTTCACACAACCTTATCCTAACGGCTGTGTTTAAAATTAATGGACGAAAGAAAAACTGTAACGTTCAAAAT